AAATGCAAATTGTTGCCCCATCCCTAGACTTCACGAATCAGAGTCTGCATTTTCACAAGATCTCCATGTGATTCCTGCGTACACCAAGGAATGAAAGCACACATGAAAGATGCCCTCCTTCCCTGTGGCCTCTCCATCCACTTAGGTTCTTGGCGTCTCTTTTTGCTGCTCCTCTTTTACCTAATCTTGCATGACCTACTAAATATTCACTTAATAATTAGTTATTAAAGGCAGAAGATCTGAAGGTGGTTCATGATAGAATGGGTATAATGAGCTTCCAAATTAATATAATCTGATGAATGATTACATTCCTAATTAGTGAGAACCTGGGTGGGGGCAGGGGGAATCCACTGGCAGGTAAATGGGTGTGAATGCAGCCAGGTACACTCTCCTTGGCCCCAAGGAATCAGATCATGCTAAAGGCTCTCACCTTTCTGTATGATTCTCACTCATTCATCCTATTCTCTAGGCAGCAATTTTAGGCTGTCTATCTATTCTTTAGGGCTATCTGCAGAGGGGAAATGGCGTTTTGCCTGCCAAGCAGCGTATGCGCATTCATGAATCCTATACTCTAGGATAGTCTATCCTTGTACAGACAAACTTCCAACCTGCAACAGGTGATAGTCCAAAATTTCAAACAAATAAATAGTGGGAAACATAACCAGACCAGAGCATTTAATGACAGCTGGATGTTAAAGTATGGGAAGGCCAGCTTCACTTCTCTTGTAGCTTCATCTTCTGCCAGTCCTCAACTCACAATACTATACACTGTTGAACAACCACATACTTCCAGTGCCCTGAAAACACCATGCCTGCCCTGTTACCTCTATCCAGAGCACCCATCAGACTTGTCTCTGCCTGAACCACCTCTCCTTATCCTTTAATACTCAGCACAGGCTTCACCTGCTCTTCCAGGCAGCCTTCACTCAACACCTGGCTCCATGTGCCGTGCCTCAGTGTTCACGTAGTACCCTTTAACCTCCATTGCATCACCTGAGACCAGTGCTGTCCAAAAGAAACACAACAGAAGCCACACAAATCTAAATATTCCAATAGCCATATTTTTTAAAAAATTGAAAAAAACCAGGTGAAATTAGGTTGGATTATGTATTTTATTTAACCTGAAATATCCAAAATATTATCATTTCAACAAATAATCAATACCATGTTAAAAATTATTAGATGTTTCACATTCTTTTATCATATAAAGTCTTCAAAATCCAGTGTGTATTTTACACATAGAGCACGTCTCAGTTCAGACTAGCCACATCCCAAGTGCTCATTAGCCACATGTGGCTAGTGGTGACTATATGGCACAGTATAACCTCATCCTGACACAGTCAGTTTATGGGTTTGCCTTCCCTGCTAGAAGGTAAGCTGCTCCAGGGCAAGTCAATGTTATATCTGTGGTATCTTCAGTGTCTGCTCAGTGCCTGGCATATATTGAGCACTCACTAAATGCTTACTGAACTGAACTGACCTGAGGTCCTTTGAGACAAGAAGGAATTTTTTGCATAAAAGAATAAATAAAGAGCAGCTTATGCATGGTTACAATAACTATGATGGTAGGAATCATAGCTAATATTTCTGTCTTGAACAATGTTCCATGCTCTTATCTCATTTAGTCCTCACAACAACTGTATATATACTATGTACCATCATTATCCCCATCTAATGGATAAAGAAAATTTTCCAAAACCGTAAAGCTACTAAGTGGAAAAATCAGGACGTATTCAAACAGAAGAAAACAAAATAAATAACATTAAACACACACACACACGCACAGCACAATAAACAAAGTTGAAAATAAACTATATTCACAGATATTATAAGCCTCCTCCAGTGCATAAGCCTTCTCCTGAATCTCATTTAGCAACCCCTCCAGCATCTTTTGCAGAGCTTTATGATCTACCGAGTCCTCCCTTATGCAAGCTGTACCTCTTTACAAATTTTTAAACCAGCCATTCCTGGCTTGATATTTAAAACCTTTCATACTTGCCTTCTATGTCGTTTGCATTCTGCCTGTCATGTCAAAATGGCAGAGCCATTCACAAACCCCTCTAGTAAATAAAGTCACCTCCTTAGTGCCAAATCTTCTCGCCGTATATTGAGAAAGAGTGGTACGTAAATTGCTTTTCTCTACCCACCTTCCCGGAGGACCCCACAGCCTTGCTCAGCATTCTGCCTGTCATGTCAAAATGGCAGAGCCATTCACAAACCCCTCTAGTAAATAAAGTCACCTCCTTAGTGCCAAATCTTCTCGCCGTATATTGAGAAAGAGTGGTACGTAAATTGCTTTTCTCTACCCACCTTCCCGGAGGACCCCACAGCCTTGCTCACATGGCATATGGGGGAGGTTTTTTTTTTTTTTTTTTTTTTTAGGCTTATAATTGCTTTTCTTTTTCTTTCTTTTTTTTTTTAATAAATTTTATTTTGTCGATATACAGTGTGGTTGATTATTGTTGCCCATTACCGAAATGGGGGAGGTAATTGTTGATGTAGGCTTTTGTTTGAGGGATCTGGGCTGAACTGTGCCTGTTCAGCCTAAGAAAAATGATGAAGATTTTAATTTTTTGGAGTGTCCAAAAATTCTATTATCTCTAAGCCACAGGAACCAGAACCACATCTGGCAAGTGAAACAAAGCTGGAGATGCAAGGAAAGAATAAATTAGGAGAAGCCTTGCAAACAGGCAGCTGAGTTGAGATTCGATGTAGTGGGAAATAAAGACCCCTCGAGGGTTTCTGAGCATGGGACTGATGGGATGAAAACAGTGATTAAAGAAGATGAAATACAAGCAGGACAAATTGAAGGCAGGGACTAGAATCTGAGAAGAGGCAGTAATCTAAGCCCAAGGGAGGTGGAGGAAGAAAAGATATTAGGAAAGAGATCCACGATTCCACACAAATTAATTCATGTATGCTCACTCTAATTCACTTTACTACCAAGTTACTGCCCAGTTTTGTGTTTCGTGTGTGTGTGTGTTTTTTTAATGTTCTTACTATGTTTGGCAAGGCAAAAAGAAACCTATGAGGAGCCAAATATTTTCATTAAAATGATAATCAACTTTCATCTCTGAATGTAATGGTTTAAGTGAGTGCCCTGCTGAGCATATGAGCTTTATGCTAAGCATGTGGGACAGTTTGTTGAACAGAAGAGGATTTCAGAAAAATGTATATTAAGCCATTATTCACAGAATAAACAAGCACCATGAAAACAAAATCATTTTTTAATGTAGTCTCATGCAGGTGAAGCCTATATGACGGAACAGAATGGGCTGCCCTTGAAGGGGTGGCCCAGCCCGAGAGTGCACCTAACTCACTGCCCCACAGGACTCTAAAGGTGTCCTATCCAAATCAGTTTTCACAGTGGCAGGAGGAACAGATCAACTTTTGGGTTAGCCAACACTATTTGCCCAGCCCCTACTCGGAAAACCCTACACCTTAAGCTGTCACATTCTTTAATTCTGGCTGCAATTTTAAATGGTCAAGAAACTTAAAAATTATGTTCATTTAAGTTTAGATCTGGAAAGAGACTTGGAGAACATCTAAACCCATAGTTTAAGAATATTTTTAAGCCACACAGCACTTTTGCCAATTAAGTCAAATGGATATACCATGGATCAATATCAAATTGGAGCTCCTTGGATAGGGACTGGGGTGAAAGGCCTGTAACTCCACTCATTCTCTCCCTTCCTTTGTCCCTCCCCCAACTTACACTACGACTCTCCCAGGACCCTGTGTCTGCGGAGAAAGAAGTTTGCAAAATACTGAAGAGACTAGTATTTTGTGCATGTGGCTTTTTGTGACATGTGAAAAATTGAAGACCAGAAAGCTTAAAACAGGGCTTCCATTTTCAGCCATATGGCACACTGAATAACCTGGAAAACCTCCTTCTAGAAACATGTAGAATGCTAGCTAAATACAAATAAATGTATACAATGAACTCACAAAGTCATCAGTTTGAAAGCAAGCACCACGTGTGACCCAGAAAGTCCACGTCTAGGTATGTATCCTAGAACAGTGCTTTTCAGATTGTCAGTGGAGATGTATCACTGGGTTATGAAGTCACTTTAGTAAATTGCAATCAGTGTATATATATATATTTGGTATGTGAAATAGACTAGACTAAAATGGATTAGAATTGAATAGAAAGTAAGGATAAATATCATACTGAGAAACTTGTTTTATATATACATGTACAGTCACATAAATATAGCAGATCCATGTGCCACATTTCCATGTAAAGTGGATCTTTTTTTTTAAAGATGACCGGTAAGGGGATCTTAACCCTTGACTTGGTGTTGTCAGCACCACGCTCACCCAGCGAGCTAACCGGCCATCCCTATATGGGATCCGAACCTGTGGCCTTGGTGTTATCAGCACCGCACTCTCCCGAGTGATCCACGGGCCGGCCCTCCGTAAAGTGGATCTTTAACTGTGGAGGTGGACAAAAGATTTTGAAAAAAATGCTACCTTAGTGAAGCTTTTGTACATCAAGACAAGGAAATGTACAGGAATATTTATTAAACCATTGTTTATAATGGTAAAAAATTAGAAGCAATTAAATGTTCATCAACAGGAGAATGGATAAATATATAGCCGACTATTCACAAAACATTACACCACAAAGCAGTTAAAATCAAAGAACCACAGTTAAATTGCTGAAGTCTAATTCTAAATTTAAAAAAAAAAGAAAGTTGTAGAATGATAATGTACAGTGTGTTTCCATTTATTTAAAGTTTTAAAACATGCAAAAACTACCGTACATATTGTTGAAAGATGCATGTGTATGCAGAAAAGTATGAAAGCATGCAAATTCAAGACAGTGCTTATCTCTGGGGTGACAGGAAGAAGTCCACAGAGAACTTCAACTGTGTCTGAAGCAATCATGTCGACGTGTTAGGATTGCCTCGAACTGCATGCTGGCACACACAGTTTTGTTATTTTATTCTCTATTCATTTGCTGATTAAAAAAAATTTTTTAAGCCACAGGTACTCACCGGAGGTCAACTAATCATGGTGGAATATGCTGGACTAAACCCAGGGCAGGATCCTGTCTGATCGCCAGTCCATGTTCTTTCCACCTGGCTCCCACTTCATGATCTGTTTGCAAATTGAAGGATTTGCATCATTTTGGTCCTAATGTTACTGATTTATTTTTCCCTGAGAAATATTGTTCCCCACAGGCTGTCCACCAAGGCCACATCTGCTCTGGCCAGAAATAGCACAAAGCACATTTGCTCTGTGAAGGCTGAGCTGTTATTTCACAGCTTGTCACTTGGCTCTATTTTTCTGTTTTCCAACTTCACTCGTGCATTGCCACAAAATGCTAAGCCACTGAAAGGTCAGTAGAGATGATCTAAATATGTGGAAAAAAATGAAAAAAAAATATAGAGAGAGAAACAGAAAAGAAAAGGGGAGGAAGAGAGAACCGACTTTGAATGAGGAACCACAGACTAATTCATAGGAAGTGATCAAATTAAAGTCAGAATATTGCTGAGAAACCATCAGTCAAGCATGGGGTGTGTTTTAGATGATGGGAATAACTTCAAATAGTACCATCTTCATAGCCTTTAATCACAAATACACAATCTAACAGGCAGGGGGTTGTTACCTTTTTTTTCTAGTCTATCTTAAGACAAAAATACAAACGATACCTTGACAACTGGAGAATCTTGATGCAGGGAGATTTATAGTACTTTGGAAAAGTTCAGGGCAGTGGTTTTTATCGCTGGCTCCTTCACACTCTTCAAGTTACATAAGAGGCTTTTACTTCTGTTTTTTCTTTTAGACAATATACATAATCATAATCTCTAGGTCAGCTTTAACTTTTCAGGTGAGTGACCTAAAGCTTTCTGCTGTTGGAGGGGGTGATGCTGGCAGAAAACGAAGACAGCCCTTGCAGCATAGGGCTGGGAACAGACCATTCTCTGGAGCTAAAAGTAAACTGCACATGACTGTATCTTTTGGTTCCTTCTCACCTTGGCATGTCCACCCGATGTCATGAACTAGGAACATATTCTTTTTGTACTCAGGGGAAAACTCAGATCCATGACAGAATTCCTTCAGTTGTATCATGAGCAAATACAGCAACAACTAACATTTATTGAGCACTTACTCCTCTAAGTGCTCATTTTGCCTCATTTAGTTTTCAGCCCTTCTCAGGAGCGTATTATTACTAGCCCCATTTTATGGATAAAGACACTGAGACACAGGAAGTTTAAGGAATATACCTCAGGTTGCCCAGAGTAAATAGTGGAACCAGGGTTCAGACTACCCAGCTGATTTTAACAGCTTGGGCTTTTAAGTGCCACACTTATGTCCAGGAGGTGATATTTAACATAAGTGGAGGCAGCTTTGAAGATGACAGCACCAAGTTATGTTAGGAGCCATGGGGCCCCTGCATCAGCTACAATGAAGGTGAGGGTGTTTCGCTAAAAATCAGAATCCTTTATTCAGAGTTTGTAACACCCTGGAATACCTATTTCAGGAATAGAGTAGAGATTTTTCAGAGTTCCTGCATGTACTGCATGACCTAAGTTATGGCTAATTTCTGCTGTGCCCTACCCCCCCCCCCAAAATGATCATGGAGATGGACTTGGAAATGATATTGGATTTAAACTAATCCAGTATCACCACTTACTAACTAAATGGATATAAACTTTCCAGGCCTTATTTTCCTTATCTGCAAAAAGAGAGAAATAAAGACTACTACATAGGATGGTGAGAGTCAAACCAGAAAACCAGATAGAGGCCCAGAGAACTTTGATATTTTTTTTGTTTGTTTGTTACGTAAGTCAAAAGATTACAGCAAAATGCCATAAACATCTATGAAAAACCCATGTGGATTCCAAAGAGCCTTCTTTTATTGTATTATTAACCTTGGTCAGGTAATTTTTCCTATTTTTTTTTTTATTACTTTTCCATCTATCAAAGGAAGGGTATTAATCACCAAGGTCCCTTCAAACTTTGATATTTCTGCTTTTGTGTCCCAGGTCTGGGAGAAGTGAACCTAGGGTTTCTAAATGGCAGTTTGGGCCCTTTCAGGCAACCTTATCCTCCTAAGGTGAACAATCACATTCCTAAAATCCTATTAATCACACAGAAAATCTAACAGCTCAGAGATATAATTACAGTGGTTCCCACCACCCCCAAGTTCAAGTGTTAGAGAAAAGAGAACTGTGTTGTCTGCAGGAGCTGGGTAGACATCAAGGTTAGCAGTCGACCTGCTGAAGTGGAGGCAGGAGCATTCCAACACTTCAGTTCTGGGAAATGCCAGACACATGAGGAATGCAGGACAGGATGACCTTTGAGGGAGCTTCTAGCCCTGTGATCTCATGTGACTGCTTCACTGATAAGTATCACTTGAAAATGATGTCGGGTATGACCAGCCACAGCTGGATTGGAGCCATGGCCTAGGGCCCTTGAGGGCTCCTCTCTGTACGGGTCTCCCCATGCGGGGGTGTCCAAAGCACTAGACACGTCAAATGCAGCAGCTGTAACTTGACAGGGTGACTGGAACATGTTCCTGAAGCAGCTGTGTGCCAGCTGAATGCTCTGCCAGTCCCTCCAGAATGGGCTGACCCCATTCCATGGGAAGCCAGCCCTGACAGCTCAGGCGAAAGCCAGTCCCCTGGGGAGCCGAGGTGCTGTGGCTGAAAATGATGGATCCATTCTTGAAGGGAAAGGACAGAAGGAGATCAGTCACTCTGATCAGAGAGTTCAGTGCACAGACCATCCCCCAGCGGTCCATTCCTGGGTTCTGACAGCCTGAAGCAGATGATGGGAAAATTCACATCGTGCAGCACGCAGCCCAGTCAGCAGGCTCGAGGTGAGTCATGATGCCAGTGAGCTGTGTCACCAGCATTGTTACAGTGAGATGAGCATGGTTAGCTTCCAAACCCCCAAGCAGTGGACACCCAGTAATGGTTCATTCTGCGCCTCCAGGAGGCCACGCTCATTCCTGCCGTAGGGCCCCTGCCCTGGCCATTCCCTCCCGAAAACCTTGGTCCTCAGGTCTCCCACAGCTGGCTCCATTCCGCAAATCAAGTTTCATTTCAAGTATCACTTTCCCAGGCCTTCCGTGTACACAGCCCCCCTCAACTCTATCCCACACCCTCTTTTGTATTTCTTATAGAACTTCTATTTGAAGTGATCCTGTTTCTTTCTTTGTGTTTATTCTCTATTTTCCCATTTAGAATGTTAGCTTAATGACAGCCAAGATCTTCTCTGTCTTCATCAATCTATCTCAGCACCTAGAAAAATATTGAACAGATAATGAGGGATTGATAAAATTTAGTAGAATTACTAGGACAGTTGTGTATTGGCCCAAACAGGGTTTATTTCTCTGTGCTCTGCAGCAGTGGTGAGATTTCAAGACTCCCCGGTGGCTTTGGTAGACATTTTTTAATATCTCACCATTTCATGAGCTATCCTCATCTCCTCTCAACAATTAAAGATCTGAGAATCACTCTCTAACCTATAGGAATTAGCTCCTTGCACCCATGTTTTTACTACATTACTTTTTCACTTAAAAATGCTTTTGGTTGGGCCGGCCCGTGGCTCACTCGGTAGAGTGCGGTGCTGATAACACCAAGGCCCCGGGTTTGGATCCCATATAGGGATGACCGGTTCTCTCACTGGCTGAGCGTGGTGCTGACACCACCAAGTCAAGGGTTAAAATCCCCTTACCAGTCATCTTTAAAAAAAAAAAAAAAAGAAAAGAAATGCTTTTGGTTGCAAGTAAAAACAATTAACAACAACCTATGAAAGTTAACTGTGATTTCAACAAATAGGTTATCATTTTTCTCAAGTAAGTACAAGTCAGGAGGTACACAGTTCAGTGTCAGTGTGGCAGCTCAACTGTACAGGGACCTTGGCTCTTTCTCCTTTGCACCCTCTGTCCTTAGCACATAGCTTTCATCTTGTGCTTGTCACATCGTGGTCACAATATAGCTGCTGTACCAACAGGTATCATGTTTGCATTACAGAAAAGAAGGGGGAAAGGAAAGGGGCAACGAGCCATGCCAGGTGAATCTGTTTCTTCTCTTTATAAGGAAAACAAGGTTTTCTCAGAATCATATCCTACCGACTTTTATTTATATCTCCTACATTAGAACTGGGTCACAGGGCCACCCCTTGACCAATTACTGACAAAGGGAAATGGGATTGCTGTGACTGGTTTAGACAGTCAGAATTCATCCCCTGGGACTGGAGAAAAGACCTAGTTTCCCTGAGATCAGGTTATTGCCACACTTCCCTGAACAAATTTGGACTCTAACAGGAAAGACAAGAGAGATGGCTGTCAGATGTGCCATAGCTAAATGGACTAGAATAAACATGTGACTCAAAATTGGGCCTATAAAATTCTCTTTGTTAAGAATTACAGCTGAAACACACAGAAACTGAGTGTTAAAGGCTGAGTGTTAAAGGCTCTTGAGCTGTCATGCTTCTGAACCCTAAGATTTGGTTGTTTAAATTCTTTAAATTTTATCATTGTCCCAGAAAAGTATTTGTTTTTCCTTAATGTAGCTAGAGGTAGTTATTACTATTGTTTAAAACCAAAGGTTCTTTGTTACAGAAGCATCTAACTGCCAGTGTCCTACATTGCCAGCCAGGTTGTGCTGCCTGGTTTCTGCAGAGGGTCAGACAATTGATCTCACCTCCCTCAGGAATGACCAAACACCCTGCTACTCCCCAGGTGACCCAAACACCGCAGACATTATGTCATCAGCCTGTCAACATCTTCCACCGCCTCTTCACCTTCAGGTCGTATTTGCCGAGGTCCCAAGTACACAGAGAGGCCTTCTGGGTGCTAAAGGCTTATGTGATAACAAAGGGGTGAGCATTGTGCAAACACCCACACCAACTAGTGCCCGACTGGAACTGCTGAGATGGCGTGGCACAAAGCTTTGATAAAGGCCAAAACATACCATGCCTTCTGATGATTGCTCAATGCTTTTTTTTTTAAGCCACCTGATTTCCAGGTCAAACACACACACACACACACACACACACACACACACACACATATCCATACTCCCATGGTTAAGAGAGACTGTAATCGGTGAAAAGCCTGCTGGCTCAGTTCAGGATTCCATCCCTATTAATAGGCACAGGAATATTCTGTGGCAGGTTGTAAGAATTAGCACTCCTATGTTCTATGTGGATATCTCTGCAGGTCTCTTGCTCTGTCATCTATGAACTTGATCTAAATTCTTTTTCAATGTATATCTCTCTTCAACTTATACAAATTTCAAAATGTGTTGCTTGCAACTTACAGCTTTTACATGAACAAATGGTTTTATGATCAGATAACTTTAAGAAACACCGGGTTAAAGAACTTAAATGGCTTCTTCATTGAAAGACATTGCAAAGCCTTTAATATTTCTTTTTTTTTTTTTTTTTTCCTTTTTGTCTTTTTTTTCGTGACCGGCAACGGATCGCAACCCTCGGTGTCACACCTGTACCGGACCGGGACCGGCAACGGGATCGCAACCCTCGGTGTTGTGCCCGCACCTCGCTCAGCGGCCGGTCTGTATGTGGGATCCGAACCCTCGGCGGGAGCGCTGCCGCACTCCCAAGCGACGCACTGTAGCAGTGTGCCACCGGGCCGGCCCAAAGCCTTTAATATTTCAATACATGTATGATGAATATCTAGGAGAGGGATGCAATATGTGGCATTTTCCAAATTTGTTTAGTCACTGAAATTTTTTTCCTTGGCATATGTTGAAAGGCTGATAATCTAAGACATGGGATTTGGGAAACTGACAGTGGGGAAGAGTGCAGGGGTACATCCTAAAACCTACTATCTGTGACTTGGTTTAGGTCAGGTACAAACTTATGTATACCCCCAATGAGTGTTGTCAGATAGCTAGGCCTACCCTGTAGCCCAGGATTCCTGACTTCTGTGTCACAGCTGCTATCCTGGGTGAAAGCACGTTGGTTTAAGAGGGAGTGCACTGTGTTCTTGGACTAATCATGTTATTTCTCTCGTCATCAGGTTCCAGTTCTTCAAAATAAGTATGTTAGTTCATGTGAAAATAGGAAGAATGGAGTCATTGTTGAAGAATTTAGCACCCTATTATTTTTCTTCTGTTTCAACTTTTAATAAAAGCAATTTTGGTCAATGTGAGAGTGACCAAGCCACATTGACTTCAGTGACCTGGTAACATGAACTAAAAACTTATTTGACTTTTTTAGATCCACCTTCCCAAAAAGACCACTTGATATAAAATAACAAACATATCTCTGCCTAGGAATGTGCAAACATGTCCCTAAGATATCTGGCACTGACTCAGCCCCCTCCTAAAACTTATATGCTTTATATTCCCTAAGCTGACAGAAGGATTTTAGGAGAATTAAATGTTGGATTGACAGTGGGTCTGCCAAAGCTTTATCCACACGATATTTGGAAAGGAAAGCTGAGTCCCTGGAAGCTGTTTTTCCGGGTGTTTAGACACTCGAGTCAAAGAGGAAAATAACTGAACAAACTCGTTTATCATTATGATTTAATAATGTAAACTGTACTTCACAAAATAAGTCTAGAAGGATTTCATGTCTAATGTCAACATAATCAGCCATGTAATAATAAAAAAATCACTATTTATTTTTATCCCCAAGAAGAATATTTTCAGGTTATATTAATAAGGGTCATAAATTCCCCTAAATTTATTTTGCCCTATATTCCCCTAAATTGAATCATTTGAAGTGCCTGAGAAAATTTGAGAGTCTAGTCTCGCCCCTGTATGCCATCTTCTCTGCAGCAACGGGAATAAGAGTTTTAAAAGGCCCAGTAGTGTAGCAGGAACAAACCCTACAAGGGCCTCAGAGGACCAAGATTCTAGTCAGTCTTTAGACAGCTAACATTATGGGTGAAATTGTGTCCCCATAAAGTTCATGTTTAAATCCTAACCCCTAGAACCTCAGAATGTGACTTCATCTGGAGATAGGTCTTTATAGACATAATCGAATTAAAATGAGGTCATTAGGTTTGGCCTCAATCCAAAATTTGGACATAAACAGGCATAGAAGATGATGTTAATAAACCCAGGGAGAAGATGGTCATCTACAGCCAAAGAGAAAGCCCTGGAACAGATCATTCCCTCACCGCCCTCAGAAGGAACCAAACCTTCCAACACCTTGATTTTGGACTGCCAGCCTCCAGAACTATAAGACAGTAAATTTCTGTTGTTTCAGCCACCCAGTTTGTGACACTTTGTTATGGCAACCCTGAGAAACTAATACAGCTGCGTTTCCAGCTAAGTCTTTTAATCTCTCCGGGTCTCAGTTTCCTCATCTATAGCATTAGGGAGTAGGTGACCTTTGAAAATGCTTTTATCTCTAAAGTTTAACAATTAAGGATGAAGGTAGCCTCTGGCCAATTCTCCTGAGATGTAAACATGCACCATCTTCTGAGAAAAGCTTTCCCTCTTATCTGTGGATCAATGGATTATAGACCAGTTGAAACCAGCTTTGATTATCTTGTCTGGCCATGCTAATTTATATTTCAGCAATGACTTTAGGAAGTAAAATAAAGAGGAAAGGAGGCTCAAAGTGACTCCTGTGAAAGGCTATAAACTGTGTAAGTTCATATCTTTTTATGAGAAATTCATCATTTGAAAAACTGGTTTATAAGAGATTCCAATGGAGGTGCCAGGGTGGGGCTCAGATGAAAAGATCAATAACAAATGTAAATTTCAGGACATGGTTCATGATGGAACCTCCGTAAAGAGAACAAAAAAGCACACATTTTGTACTCTCTTCAGGACACTTTTCTGGGCTCTCCCTTTCACTAAAAGTTTATCATGAAAGGAAACATATTTCAGGTACAACTATTAAACTTCTGAGTGTTATTATCCTGTTCCATTTCACCAGTAAAACAGTTAATAACAATGACTTCTTGCACCATTTATCAACCTCTCATCAGCATGTATCATCTTGGTATAAATCCCAGACTACTAATGTATCTTCAAAGCCTGGAATATGTAGTATTAATGCCAGATGCATAATGGGTAAGATGAACATTTTGGCAACTGAAATTGCAATTCCAAATGCTATAAAACAGAGCTGATGTTCTAGCTTTCCTTCTCTGTACCTCATTGAATGTATCTCTCCTGCCAAAGCAGACAGGCAGATAAGCATTCTACTCAATGACATAATTTTATCATTGCAAACCAGGGTGACCTTCTAAAGTAGCTGAACAGCTGGCTTAGCACCAACTATATTAAAACAAAAATCAACATTCTTGGCAAACATAAACCCAATATTCAAATGAACAGTGCTGTATCAGTCAGGAACACTCATATTAGAATAATCCAAAGAAGGCTTATTTATTAAGGAACTCTTTACAGGGTATATGCCGGATATAATAGAACTACAAGGGTTTGCAAGCAAAAAACCCAAGAAGGAGAAAGCCATGGAGAATACTGCCTTGAAAGGAGCACAGCCAAAGGTGGCCTCTCAGGGAGAAAGTAAGGGGACTCACGACTCTGACTTCAGTCACCTCCCTTCAATTTCCTGCCAAAGCATGCCATTGGCCAAACTCTACCAGAGACCAAAAGAAGAGTGCCCACTGATGTGACCCATAAGGGTCAACCTCTAAAGACCAAGGTGAGTAGATCTGGAGAGGCTACTGGATGTACACAGCACAGTGCTAAATAACTGCAACAGACTCAATGAAATATCTGTAAATTTCGAGAGCAGAAACATGTCTGCTCTTGCTTGCCATTTTATCCCAGCTACATCATTCCAATACCAACCAATTCTCTGATCTCTGACACCAACTGGATGGTCAACAATTCAATTCAATTCAATTCTGACACCAACTACCCAGAGGTAGCACAGACCTTACAAGAGCTCAGTTCCATAAGATACCCTCACTTTAGATGCCAGCTAGGGTCCCCAAGCTATCTACACTTCTTCCCAGACTACCACAATTTGAGGGTTCCCACAACTATTCCCCCAAATTTGATAATTGCTAGAATGACTCATAACTCAGGAAAGCTCCCTACCTTCAATTACAGTTTTATCATAAAGAATAGAACTCAGGAACAGCCAGAGGCGGGGCGTGGAAGAGTTTTGATGGGAGCTTCGTTGCATAGGCATCATTTACTAAATCACTGGCTACTGGTGACTGAACTCAATCTCCAGCTCCTTTTCCCTCCCCAAAGGTGGGGGGGGGGCAGAGCTGACAACTGTAACCCTCTAATCAGGTGGCTATTTCCTGTGTTGATCACCCCCTATCCCAAAGCTATCTAAGCACCCCCCACCTCGTTGGGATAAAAAAGACACTCCTGCCACTCAGGAAATTTCAAAGGTTTTAGGAGCTCTGTGCCAGAAACTGAGACAAAGACCAAATATACACATATTTTTATTACTCCACGTTAGCACCTCGTACCACAGTGCCTGGCACAAAGCAGCACTCAATATTTACTAGTGCATGGGTGGGTAATTTAAAAGAAAGACAGCAGGAGAGAATGCATGGACACTTAGGCCCTACCCAAGGTGTACTGAAACAAAATTTCTAGCGGTCCAGTCTTTTTTTAAGCCACACAGCCCCATCATACAAGGGCAAAAGGCACACTAATGATCCTTTCCATATCTCTACGCTGTATTCAACCTGGATTGGGATACATTAGAATAACATGGGAACTTTTAAAAAATATACACGTGAGAGACCTCTGTACCTACCCATCCACCCAGCCCCACCATTCTGATAAACCTCATGTGGTGGTGACCTTTGCATTTTGCAAGAGCTCCCAGTAATTCTGACCCCCTCCTTCTAACCTTCATCCCACCCCATCTCCAGTTGAGATCCACTGAGCACTAGTTCTCTGTTACACTGTTACTAAAAAGAAATATATTTGGGTCACATATCTGAATTCCCTGCTGACATACCTTAATGGAATTAATATTTAACAATACACACTTGACTTAGATCAGAAATGCCTTATAGGAGTTATCTACTTGAATTTTACATTGTTACATCTTCTGGAAAATTATAGTTTCAATCATGTTCTAAAACAGCTTGAGAAAATGAAAGTGAAAAATGAACATAAGCTTATCCATGGCTAATATACCTTGAAAATATGGTGTGAAATTCCAGGATTTAAATAGGGGTTGGGAGGAAGAGTGTTGAAGGTTTCTATCCATCAGCAGAGCTCTCTGTCATTCTGATGGACTGCTACGCTTCTCTATGACTAGTAATAGCCTTCTAATAGCAACAAAAATGTGCAAAGCTCCCTAACCAAACTAGGTTCTCAACCTGAATAGTTATCCAAGAGCCTGCACAGATCCCTTTGGAAAGCATTTTTAGACCTGCTCACATACTCATGGCCCACCTATCTGTGGAACTGGGTGCCCTGCAGCCTGAGCAAAAATACAAAGTGGACCCTGAATTTCCTCAGCTGTTGTCTCTGGCCAGTGCATCCTCTGTGCATGTGACACCTCCTTTGATCAGCACCACACAACACTGTCACTACAGGCACTGATTGGAAAATGCACTCAAGAACAAATTGTGATATACAGCTTGCAAAAGTTTGCTAGAGACACATGATATTGGAAAAAAATTGCCTAAGACCATTGTTCTAAACCCAATCATCCTAAATGATCTTGGGGAAGGGGTGGATGGGTGGGTAATTTAAAAGAAAGACAGCAGGAGAGAATGCATGGACACTTAGGCCCTACCCAAGGTGTACTGAAACAAAATTTCTAGCGGTCCAGTCTTTTTTTAAGCCACACAGCCCCATCATACAAGGGCAAAAGGCACACTAATGATCCTTTCCATATCTCTACGCTGTATTCAACCTGGATTGGGATACATTAGAATAACATGGGAACTTTTAAAAAATATACACGTGAGAGACCTCTGTACCTACCCATCCACCCAGCCCCACCATTCTGATAAACCTCATGTGGTGGTGACCTTTGCATTTTGCAAGAGCTCCCAGTAATTCTGACCCCCTCCTTCTAACCTTCATCCCACCCCATCTCCAGTTGAGATCCACTGAGCACTAGTTCTCTGTTACACTGTTACTAAAAAGAAATATATTTGGGTCACATATCTGAATTCCCTGCTGACATACCTTAATGGAATTAATATTTAACAATACACACTTGACTTAGATCAGAAATGCCTTATAGGAGTTATCTACTTGAATTTTACATTGTTACATCTTCTGGAAAATTATAGTTTCAATCATGTGATGTTACCCAATATCCAGTACATAAACCCTTCACAAAACTCCATGTCAGAAAAGAGATGATTCCCCAGCAGAACATGTCTGTGCCCTTCTAGACAATGATGAGATAATGCAAATCATCACCCCAGTGCCTCAGCTGCTATGAAACAAGGTTCTTTTTAGTAAAAACTGGCACATTGAAAAGAATCCTTAGGAACTAAGTGTCTAGAACTTTCTGTGATGACAGAAATATTCTACATCTACACTTTTCAATTCAGTAGCCAGTAGCACTTTAAATGTGACTAGAGCTACTGAAGAATGAATTTCCAATCTCATTTAATGTCAACTAATTTAAATTTAAAAAGCCACATGTGGCTAGTAGCTACGTTTTAAACAACACAGTTGTAAGGCCACTTTTTTCTTATAAACATGTAGGTAATACTGACATATAAGTAAACAACACAAACATTTTATGATAGTTTCAATTTAGGTGCAAATGCTATGTTTAAGTTGTAAGAGTGGCATTGGCTTTTAGTAATATTATTTGAAGGACTTGTGCATATCTGGCCTTGACTATAGAAGCTCGGCTGCTCCCAGTAGAAAGGAGAAGGCTCCGATCCTCAGCCTGATTTGACTGGACATGCCCCTGGCCTGGGCTGTTACAGTTAGAACTGCTGCGACCTGATGACAGAATTGCTGACCTTCTGAACAGTGCCACCTGAATGGCAGGGAGGTAGCCTTTACTCTCCCCTCAGCTAGGGACCCTCTGCTGTTCCAACCTCCCTGGTAAAGGAAGGGCAGGAAGTGGCTTTAATGCTTGCTTTGTTTAATTCACATATGGCCAGTGTGTTCTATGATTAAGGAAGAGCCCAGTGGATTTGTGGGGTTTTTCAAGCTCGGCACTACTGACATTTTGGGTCTGATAATTCTTTGTGTGGGGGGCTGACTTGTGCATTGTAGGATATTTAGCAGCACCCCTGGCCTCCACCCATTAGATGCCCCACCCCTCCCCATAGTGATAATCACATATTTCTCCAGACACTGTCAAATGTCCCCTTGGGGACAAAATTGCTACTAGTTGAAAAACCACTGACCTACAAGTAATGTCTTAGACTGTGGGCAACCTAAGAAGGGAGACCAAATCTTGCTTAGTTTTTTGTTTTGTTATTATTTTAATCTCCAAATTGCCTGGTGTGTCATATGCACCCAAACATTGCTTGGATGGATGAATAAAAAGCCACTGTTATTTTTTAATTTATTAAATATCTCCCTCACTGCCTAGCATAGTATAAGACCCAATCAACAAATGTTTTCTGGTTGGTTAATATTCTTACAGGTTTTAACAAAAAGCAGAAGGAATCCCTACCAATGACTCTTCAAGGAAGAAAAATAATAGAGCAAATAAATCTTTTGCATACCTTAATGTGCAGTAACCAATCTTCTGGCCTGTAAGGACTTTAAGCAAATAGTCTGAAAACACAGTCTCGCCATTTCCAAAGGAAGTGGTCTGACTGTCTGCAAGTGAGGAAACAGGGCTCCTCCGCCTGTCTCCTCACACAAGTCCATCTCCACCGAGTTCATCTTCCTCGCTGACTGCTTGAGCCAGTCATGTCCAGTACCAGGTTAAGACCCCAGGAACCCCTGCTGCCAGCCTCCCTGAACAAGAAAGACAGAGGACCAGGTTCAGTCCTTGGCTCCTGAACCTTTCAGCTGCATTTGCCAGCAGGTAATGCTTTTGTCTCGTTTCTCACAATCAAGTCCTGGAGAATGAATCTACTATCTAATTAAAGCCAAACTCTTTGCACCTAAAATTTAAGTGATGGCTCATATACGGAATAGCATAACAGAGGGAAAATAAAGGCTTTCCCACCAGGTACAGATTTAAATCGACAATACATTTAGCATAATCTGCCCTTCACTATCTATTTACCTAAACTCTTTATGGTATTTTAAACTTCTTGGACAAGATTTTTTATTAAAGAGAAATATCACTCTCTTCTCTAAGTTCCATACCACTGGCTGCACATTTAAAGAACTGCTGCTTTCAAACAATCAAAATCATTAAGTCACACTACCAGGGACAAGGTCGAAGCATTTATTATAATTAAACAAAAAAGGTAGGAGGAAAAAAGAGCCCCTTATTTGTAGAAACCTTTCCTTCTCTTAGAGTAGTGGTTTGCTGGATACTAATTAGAATCACCTGGGGAGGTTTTAAAAGTCTGCCCCTCCCCCACACTCCCAAACCAATTAAATCAGAATCTCGGGAGTTGTTCTCAGGCACTGTAAATATTTTTCAAATATATGTTTTAATTATAGAACAGTTTTAAGTTTGCACAAAAATTGCAAAGATGGTAGAGAGTTCCTATATAGCCCAGTTCCCCTATTAATAACATCTTATGAGTATGGTACATTTGTTGTAATTTGTTGTAATTAATGAGCCAATTATTAACTAAAATCCATACTTCATTCATATTTCCTCAGATTTTCCCTAATGTCCTTTTTCTCTTTTCCAGGATCCTATCTAAGTTACCCCATTACATTTCGTCATCATGTCACCTTTAGGCTCTTCTCAACTATAACAGTTTCTCGGATTTTCTTTGTTTTTGATGACCTTGACTTTTGAGGAATACTGGTCAGATGTTTTTGTTGAATGTCCCTCATTTTGGGGTTTGTCTGATCTTTTCCTCATGATGTATGTATATATTTATTTTGTGCTTTGGGTTTCAATCCAATACTATTTTACTTTGTTGTTCAAATGTTATAGCCTTGGACATTGGGAGTTCTTTCAGCTGGCTCTGTGTCCCTTTGACATAACTCCATTGGGGTGTGTGTGTGTGTGTGTGTGTGTGTG